CCCACCCTTCTTCTCCCTCTGCAAAGTACTCAAAAATTGGTCTTGAGAACCCCAATTGGCTCCTGAACCCGTAAGCGGTTGGCTGAACCAACCAGGGGGTCTGAGAGCCAAGTCCCTGTGCACCCTTCAACCAGGAGGGGACCTGGGATCACTATTTGCTTTGGGCCCAGGCCCAACATCCAAATTAGAGAGAACAAAACCCGACTGGGCTGGAATGGGCGAGCCAGGCCCAGACCCATCTTCTAAGTTGCCTTGGGCCACAAGGGATTCAGAAGGAGGGAGATGGTGGTCCACAAACTGAGTATTTAACGCACAGCCCTCCCTAGGTGCCAGATGTAGCTCAGTCAGACACTCTCTGATCAGGTCTTAACAGCTTCTACTCCCAAGGTCTGCCCATTGTCTCCCAGGTTTGAAATTCGAACTCCATTTCCACTAGCTTCCTCATCGAGCCCATCTGAACCCTTTGCTGACACTGAAATCAGGCGGCTCCGAAGAAAGCTAAGGTCTGCATCTTCTTTCTTCTCTACCACCGGCCGCCGGAGAGTTTGATCGAGTACAAACCTTTTGAAGTTGCCCTTCTTCAGACATGCGGGGAAGAACACTTTCGCCAAAATCTTCCAACACCGTCTTGGTACAGTCTGAAATCCCCTTCTCTTCTCTCTGAACGTCCCAAGGCTTCTCTTCTCCCCCTCTCCATCTTCGAACAGACGGCAGAAGTTCTAGCAAAATCTGGACAGTGAACAGAACTTCCCGCGCCACCACTTCGATCTTGCTCAGAATTATATCCCCTCAGAATTATATCCCCTGCAAGCATCCCCGATAGCCCTTATTACACTTGGACACCAGAGAAGAAGAGGGAGACCAAACACCTTGATCCAAACCGATTCCAAATCTTCCCCTTCCGCGAAAGGGTCTGGGTAGTAGCAGCCCGCGCTTGCACCCCACCAGTCCAGCAAGAGGGGATTTCTTCCCAACTGCCAAGGCTCGTTTCTTAACACCCAATCAGCACCTGCTCTCGAAGGGTAGATGAAAAGGAAGAGGTCGTCTGCCATTCTCTTCACTTTCACTCCCCCCACCTCCCTTTATTGCCCGTTTGCCCACATCTCCACCTCCCTAGTCTCCTCTCCCCACCGGAACCTTTCCACCAAACAATTCCGTAGAAACTCCCTTCTCGCATTCACTGCCTGAGAGTCCGTAACTACCACCCTTTTATTGCTGACCCTCTTCACCTCCGACGACCCGAAAGCAGGCCAGGCACCTATTGCCGCCGCATCACTGTAGGAGAGATTGATCCTTGTCCGCCCTTCTTTCTCTACTCTTCAGTACCAGTTGGAAGCTTCCCATCTTCGCTTCCCTCCAACAGATCTGCTAGAAGGGAAGTGGCACACCATTGAAAAAAAGAAACAGACAAGGTACACACCTCAGTAGACCATACACCAGTGTTACCAGGTCCCTTCACCGGAGAAGAAGACCATGGGCAACTATGCATAAAACAAACTCCATACAGATACTGACCCTTCAACTTGCATTGGACGGGCCAAGAAACTCCACTTCTTTGGAAGTCTGTCCCATTACTTACGAATGAAGTGAATTCAACTCGAACTCCTTCCCCAAGTCGCCACTGACTACCACCAAGTCAGCATCATCTCCTACCTCTGACAACCCCTTCCATAGACGAGCATTCAACGACGAGAGCAGTCAGATCTTATCGGTAACTTCATCAATTAGCAACTCCACCAATCTAGGGATTGCTTTGGTTTTTACTCTACAAGTATGAAGGTTGCTGAACTAAGATTTGTGGAGTCCAAGTCTTCAACAGTTTCTCCGCAAAGACTTGTTATTTTCTTAAAGATGTCATGAGACCAAGCATGGAAGGGGATCCCTAAAACTTTCACCCATAGGGTTCCCACCAGTTCAACCTCATTTGCACTAGGATTTCACTGTCCAACAACCACCAAGCCCTCTGACGTTTGGATTGGAAGCACATGTATATCCTCCTCAATATTGCAAGCCTTTCTTTCTTGGAAAGGAGATCAAGTGAAGGCTCCTTCAGGGCATAACCTTTTCTTGATATCCCCTGCTATGTGAGTCCAGCTTCTTACTTTTTTATTAATGTTAACAATAAATTTCTTATGCTACTCCATAAATCTATCACCATAGCCTTCCACAGGAACTAAACACAACCCAACCCTTGCTCTGTTTTCCCATTGGAATGCAAATGAACTGCTTCCGCCATTCCCCAAACCATTCTGTTACCATAATGAACCAACCCTTAAGTCTCTCTCTCTCTCTCTCTCTCTCTCTCTCTCTCTCCTCTTCTCCTGCACATGTTGGATTGAGTTTGGTGGATTTACTGTTGATTACATTACTAGTCATTGCATGATCTGTCCCATGATATTTGCAAAATGACAAACAAAAAAAGAATCCTGCTAAGAATTCAAGACTAGGGAAAACCTAAAATTTATCAGAAAGAACTTGAATACTTAACACAAAAGTCCTTGAGCCTCTCCATGGTGAAATATGACATGAAATGGAATATAGTAAGGACTATGATTCCTTGACATTTAACCTTTATCAAATACAAGATTTGTGCTTATCTGTCTAAAGGAACTCTCTACCACTTCTACCCCATTCCATCCCCCCGATCCCAACCCCAAATAAAAAAAATAAAAAATAAAAAAAAAAATAAGAGAGAAAAAAGAAAACTTACAAGTTTGTATGGAGGAGTTGTGAGGCCATGGAAAGCCCAAAACTGGGTAGCCCTCCGGGACCTACAAAATTGTCCTTTCTGCTGCAGACATAGAAAAAAATAACATAATTACTATATGGAACATCTAAGTAGAGTACAACATTTATAAAAATGAAAATATAAAAATAAATGAGATTTTAAGTAGGTAGTGCAGACAACGTTAAGTATTTATCAGAACTAATGAGCCATTAATTTGATAGGAAGGCTTGCAAGTTTGTAGGTAACCTTTAAATAATATGTCTACTACACTTAATTTTGCTATTATAAAGATTTGAGAGTAGAAAACACCAGCTCTTAAGCCCCTAAGCAGTACGAAATCCATATTGATGTTTTATGTACCTGCACTTTAGTTTACCAACAAGATTGTTGTGTCTTTTGATCCATTTGATTTTATCATTCTGATGATTGAAGTAGTGGGTAGTTCTGAAAATCAATCCCTAACTGAAAGAGTTGTAGGAAACCTATACTAATAGTAGAAGGCTGCATTGCAGAGGTAAATATGACAGGAGTGTGCAGTAGTTTTGGGGTGTGAGGTGTCCCAGTGGCCTCTTACTTACCTAGGCTTACCTCTAGAAGATAATCCTAGGAATCTCAGTTTTTGGAATCTAGTGGTGGAGAGATTTTCTAAAAGGCTTGCTAGTTGGAATAAGGCCTATATTTCTCTAGGTGGCAGAATACTTTAATCAGGTGACCAGTGTACTACTTGTCGATCTTTAAGGCCCCGGGAGGGTGGGCCTTGGCACAACGGTTGGGTTGCTCCACTGCAACCTGGGTGACCAGAATTCAAATCTTGGAAACAGCCTCTCTGTATGTGCAGGGATAAGGCTGTGTATCTCTGTCCCTCCCTAGACCTCACATTGATGGAAGCCTCTTGCACTGGGTTGCCCTTTTAGGTGTGATTGGAAGATTAGAGAAATTGGTAAAGAACTTTCTTTGAGAGCCAGGGGAAGGGAGGAAGAATCATAGGGTTAATTAGGAACAAGTCAATAAAAGTAAATTGTTCGGTAGACTAAGAGTTAGAAATAGAGAAGAGGAATATGGTTCTAAATTCTAATGGGAAAGTGGCTATGGAGATTGCCTTTTGACAAGGACAAGTTGTAGGCAAAGGTGGTGATGAGTAATCATGGGCTCTCGGCTAACAGGTGGGATACTGACACACTAGCTAGGGCATCTCGGGCATCTCTTTAGAAAGCCATCAATGAACTTTTGCCTTCTTTCCTTCCTTACATCAGATATGAATCTTGCAATGGGGAACTTGTCAAATTTTGGGAACAATTGTGGATTGATGACTCCCCTCTAAAGAAAAAACAGTTTATGTCCCTTTATACACTTTCTACTTGCAAAGACCAACCTATGTCCATCTTTTGTTACCTTTCTAATTCGATCTCCAGGGTTGACTGGGATTTGGGTTTTAGGAAGGAAATAAAGGATGATGACTTGAACAAGGTGGTAGCCCTTCTTGACATTATTTCAGGTGTTTATTTGGACCCTTTGAGATCTGACCATACGATTTGCTCTTTCTCCTTCTGGCTCTTTTTCTTGTGCTTCGTTTTTCAAGGCATTATCCTATCCCTCTTCCCTGATTGGTCTTCCTTTCCCTGTCAAAGAAATTTGGTGTCAGCCCATCCCCCCTAGAGTTCGTGCTTTCTATTGGAAAGTTTTACTATTTTTGGAGAAAATCAATACATGTGGCTTGCTTCAAAGAAAGAGATCTAATTGATTTTTATCTCCTCATTGTTGTGTTTTGTTCAAAGATAATGGTGAGACTTGCTATCACTTATCAATTTCCTGTCCTTCCGTAATTAATATTTGGTAATGGGTTCTCTTCTTTTTTTTTTTTTTTTGAAGAATAAAGAAAAAATATTTCATTAAAAGAGGAAGAGTACAGTTCAATCCAAATGGGTGTTGAGGTGACATACCAATAAATCACAAGTCCACTAGAACTTTCACCATTACAAGATCGAATTTCAAGCACATCCCAGAAGTTCTCTCCCAAATCTGCCTTATTGATTAGAGAAAAATCTGGAGATCCATACCCAGTCTATCACTAGTTTACTGATTGAAGCAACTAGAATCTCAATGCTCTTGGACTTGTTCTCAAATAACCTTCTGTTCCTTTCATTCCATATGGCCCATCACACTGCAAAAGGTATGCAGCTCCAGATATCCTTGCCTTCCTGCTCCCTCTAAATCTTGGCCAAGATGAAAAAATTTCAGCAGTGAATCTTAGCTGAAAGACTCTTAACACTGGAGAGTGCAGAGTAAAACTTCCAATGAAATTAGCTACCTTGCAAGACAAAAATAAACTGCATCCATCTCCTCTTCCATCTTGTACATATGAAAGAAGCTTGCCATGCTGAAGCCCTTGCTCTTCAAGTGGTCTGCTGTTAGGTGGAAGAAGGTGGCTGATTCAGTTCCTTGTAAGATGCCCACCACACTTTGCAGGTCCCCACTGGAAAGTGATTTCATCAAATTAAATTTTGATGGAAGTAGTTTGGGCAATTTGGTGTCTCAGGTATAAGAGGAGTTTTCAGAGATGAAGATGGAAGAGTTACAGCATTATATTCAGGCCCAATTGGTGAAGGGCACTCTATTAGGGCTGAGGTAATGGTAGTAATTGAAGGAGTACAAAGAACAGTATCTCTGAATATTAATAAGCTAATAATTGAGTAGAAATTACTGATTGCAGATTTAGATGAATTCCTTGTGAAGAGAAAGAAGAAGAAGATGAAGAGTTTCAGCAGTAGGGAAGAAAAGAGTAGGAAGTCAACCAGAATTGAATTAGATCTGGCCGCCAACCCCTCATTATAATTTATACTTAACTTAAAGAATGAGATATTACAAGAACGCCCTTAGTAGGTGTAGAGAAGATGGGCCGAATGGCCCATAGGTTGTTTA